TGTGGCCGCTCCTCGTAGTACGGCTTTGTCCTCTGATTCATGCGGGCAGCAAACGTCCATGCCATTGAGCCACAGAGAGAGGGGGAGGGACCATTACACTATGGGACTGCAACGATGTGGGCTAACACAGAAGTGAAATCCAGCCACACACAATGGATTAAGGCTGCAAAGACTGAGCATCAACCGCTGCTCGTCCCTGATGATGCACATGCCGTGTAGCATCCTTGTAAACCAGCGGGAGCGCTCGGAAAGATCAACCACTGATGGAAACTGGTGCAGCTTCCATGGAGCCATGCTGCCTGGCACCCACTGAAGATGGAGTCCTGTGAGTGTGCATGTTGTCAGTCCCCGTAATACACCTGGAGTCCTGTGAGTGTGCATGTAACGTGAACATCAGTAGATTAACAGAGAGCAAATGGAATTGAGGGTTTTCAGCTCCTCCACTGTTATAGAATCAGAGGATCCCAGGGTTGGAAGAGACCTCAAGAGGCCTTCGAGTCCAGCCTCCCTGTAGACAAGGGCCTCAGAATTCTGAGACACCTGTATCCTAACGTACGATCCCATTAGAAGGCAAAGAAGAGCCTTACAGAGTAGATCCCCCTTTCCTGAATGTTTTTATACAACTTATTAAAACTGCCCATACCTCTCTGTGAACTGCATCGCAAGGAATAATCCGGGTTGGGATTCGGAGAGGTAGCCGGATTAGCTGGCTGTTCCAAAGCTCTCGTCCAGAGGAAGGTCTCTCCAATTAACAACCGGACAAGTAGCACAGTCAGTTTTCTGCACACCTTTTGGGAGCCTGCACCCTCCAGTCCTAATTCAGTGTCCTTGGTTGTGAACTGCCTGCATGAAAGTCGGAAAGATCCAATCAGACTTGCCACTGTGTCGATGTCAGGGGAAGTCATTTTGCTCACGCTAATGAAAGCAGCTCCCTCCTTTTTAACACGCTGCCTGAGAATAATGTAAAGAAATGTCTCTCTAGCCCTTACCTCCTCATTTGAAAAGTTTCGAGTTTCAATAATAATGCATAATTTGCATAAGCTCTTGCAGCTCAGAAAGCTGCTGAATTTCAGGGAGTTGCTCCCTTTTAGGTACATATGCAAATATTTAGTCAAACCAAGTGGGTATTAATGAATGGAAAAACTACCGAGAGGATCTAAATGAAAACAAGGGAGAGTTGTTATCCTTAGCAGTTAAGACCTTGTGAGATGGAGAAAGGAGAGTTAAATGCATAGCATGTGTAATGCTAAATTGCATGTAAAACTTAAAGACAAACTCACTAGGGCTGGCGGAGGATGTTCCACGGGTTTTTGTCAATTCAGTTTACACCGTTTTTGCATCTTCGACATCTCTATCTGAAATGTTTCTAGAAAGTTCTGCACTCCACGTTTCATGGGCAAGTGCTATGGAAGCCATCTCTAGCCATTTTGGAAATTTTGCCAGACTCAATGCCAGACAAATTTCAATTTAGAAAAAGAAAAGCAACACAAACTATTTTGCTCTGACTATTAAATGCAGTTCTTCAAATTACCCTGTTGGATCCGCCCAGTATATTTCAGATCTAGATTTCTGCTTTCTCTGCATGTCCAGCCTCCACCTATAGGGGAGCAGAGTGTGTGAGCCAAAAAAAAAAATCTTTGCAGCTAGGCGTGAACTGTAACCATGCAACAGCATGGCCTGAAGTGATCTGTAGACTTCATTTGAGGCTAGCTACTAAAAATGCTTATTTTGTTGCAAAGAAAAAAACTCACTAAGGGGCCATGAAACAGCAAAGTGTAAGATTTATTTTAGAATGCAGAAACCTGGGGCTTTAACTACCGAGGCACAATCCCCAACCTCAGCATTAAACCACAGAACAGCTCTTAAATTGAAATCCTCTTCCGTTTTTAGTGTGTCGTTATCTTGCAGCTCTGTTCCACCCAGGCCGGTGCAAACACTCGGCCAGAAACCCACACCCACTTGAAGTCAGAGTGGGTTCCGGTTCTAGCCAAAACCACGACAATCAACCCAGATGGGCAAATCTTCAGTAGTTCTCTGCTCACACAGTTGTTCTCTTCTACCCAGAAAGCACAGTTTTGGGGCCTTGCTCCCTGGTCTTTTGGGAGATTTGTCTTCTATACTGCTAAAAATGCAGATTCAAACACAAACTGAGTTACCCTCTAGGCCTGTATTCTTGACAACTATTTGGCTTCAGGCATGACCCACCTTCTGTGCTCTGCAAAATAAGGCAAGAGTTTTCATGCTGCACCGTAGCTGCCAGTGGCCCACCTTCTGACATACCGTTTCTGTCGGGATACATGTGCACGCCTCCTTGTATCTTTCCTGCCTGTGCTTTGTGCCCCAGTGAGGAGCTGCATTTTCCTGGATGCCTCTCCCTAAATCAGGGTCTCATTTTACAACCTCAGACTGCCTTGTCATTTGTACTACAGGTTGCACCTCTCTAGTCCGGTGCCCTCGGGACCTGATTGGTGCTCAACCAGAGAATTGCATAGACTCATAGAACACGAGAACGGGAAAGGACCTCGAGAGGTCATCGAGTCCAGGCCCCTGCCCTCCCGGCAGGACCCAGCACCATCTAGACCATTTTGCCGATCCACAGGAAGTCAATATTGTCTAGCAGCATTTCCCACATTCCACTGCTTACCGGGCTCTTAGAAGACATTGAGGGGTAAATTAGAGCTAAATTGCAGCACCAAACACTGACAGCCAAGACTGGGGGCTGTAAATAAACTTTATGGCACCACGGGAAACTTGGCTACACCCATGATAAGCAGACATCTGATTAACTCAAATGATGCCGGACCACGGATGTTGCTGGACCAGCGAGTGCCGAACTAGAGAGGTTCAACCTGGACTTGATCCAAAACACGTTTAACCTGCTCAAATTTCAAACCTGCTTGTGTTAACCCGCTCCCCACCCACCTGCAGACAGTGCCAAAGCACCTGTGCAGCTGCAGAACAATCGCACAGGAGTCCCCAAACTGCATCCCGGCAATCCAGCAGATTTCAGCTGACGGTGTTGCCAGCTCTCGTTCCAGGTGGAGCTAGAGTAAGGAAAGGGATTCGCCAGGATAGGGAACACTACATTGGCTCTAAAACGTCTCCAGCTGTAGGCACCTGTGGGAAGTGCTTTGCCAATTGTTAAGCTTTCCTTTCTCAGCAAGTTTAATCCTCATTATCAAGTTAGTTGCATTCGATTTGCCTCCACCCAACTCAAATTTCTACCCAAGGTTATTTAAAAAAAAAAAAAAGCTTGACTTCCTCAGCTTGATTTAATTTCCAAGATATTAAAATTCTGGCACAATGAAAGAAAATGAGAAAACGAATTATCCTTTGATACGAGAGGCTCGACTTGGAACCCCAGGTGAGGTTTTATGAGCGGTGTTGGTGCACAATTGGATTTCCTACCAGGCCGCTTGACAGTGGATCTCAGGAAATAAAATGTGAGTTGTGCTAAATGTCAATTTAACAAGTATCTTGCCATTTTCAGCCCTGGTTATGATTTTTTCAGGAAGACAGTTGCCTTTCAACTGCACCTCTAGCAGCTAGGATGCGATTGTTTTTTAAGTCTTCAAAGAGCAACGTCTTAGATTGGAGGTCTCCTTGAGAATCAACGAATTGCACTCGGGCCTAGCATTTTTAGCCACAGTGAAGCCCTTGGGTGCTGATATATTTGTCATCAATTCTGTAGCACAAGCATCAAGAGAATTCCCCCAGAAAGCAAGAAGCGAGGTCAGTGTAAATCAAAGCATCGTAGCGCGACCATTTAGCTGCTTCCGCTCTGTGTGTTAGGGCGGTTTGCCATTCAAAAAGGAGCTAGCTTTTGGTGCTCCGTTGAGGTACAGTGAATTTAGTCTTGTTTGTGAGAGTGAATAAATTACTTCCTTGGCTATTTCTGATAAGGACAGCTTTGGGATTTACGTGGCTTCCTGCATCCAAGGAGGCCGGACACCTGCCTCTAAGTGTAAAATATAAGTTATGCGCTGCATGGCAGCCCACCATACCGCACTGTGTACCACATCCTTTCCTTCCAATCAAACCTGTGGTAAAGGAAGGATTGTGGAGGGGTGGGAAAGGGAAAACAGCCTGCCTAGGAGGTGATGGCGAGCCCAAGATACAATCACGTTATGAGCCATACATTAGACGTGCAACCATCTGCTGCCGACTGACAGATGGGAGGAAGTGAGATAGTCGAATGGCTTCTTCGTTTTAGCAGGACATAAAAAGCTTGAAAAGTAACACGGTTGGTTTTTTTTCCTCCCGAGACCCACACAGTAGCAACAGAGTCTGGCCACTTGTTCCTGTAAAAAAAGTGAGCGGTGTATGGATATGTCTAGGCATGTCAGAAAAAGGGCAAAGCAGTTCAGAATAAAAACAGGTTTGGTTGTTTGGTAGCCCAGAAGTTCACTCTCTCCTGGCTTTCCCTGGGTAGGAAGTAGGGAATCAAGCCCATCTCATGTTTTTGGTTGGTTGGTTTGCTCTTTGTAGTCATGAAGGACTAGTCAGTTTCAGGTGGCGCTCAGCTGAAATACAGACGCGCGTTGACAGCATTTTGCAAAGGAGTTCCTCCATATGCAGCACATGGGAAATGAGCTTGTATGGGGCTCTTGGTATGGCCAGACTGCTGACAGTCCCCCTCCTCCCTAGACATCTCAAGAAGGGCCAGATTTCCAGATTGACTCACCCCCCAGCAGCTTGTGTTGTGACACGTAGGGACTGATCTCCAGGCAGATCGGCATCCAACAGGTGGGATGGACTCTTCTGAAAATCTGGCCACTTGCATGGGAACTTAAATTGGACCTGTGCTCATAAGTCTCTAACTGGCGGCACTGAGGACTTTTGAAAATTCTGTCTGTAGGTCAAAACCAGCATATTATTGCCAGGAAATTGCCAGATTTCTTTCTGTCTTGAAGTGTGATGTTTTGATATATTTGCTCTGATGCTTCCCTGCCAATAGAGACATCTATGGACTCATGCTTTTGTCTGATCTGGTTTGACAGGACTTCATCGTGACCGTGGTCTTCTCATTCTTGTGGCTCGTGGGCTCGTCTGGTTGGGCAAAGGGACTGTCAGATGTGAAGATTGCGACCGATCCAGGAGAAGTGTTATTGCTGATGTCAGCTTGCAAACAGCAGTCTAACAAATGCATGCCTGTGCGCAGTCCCGTGATGTCAAGTTTAAACACTTCGGTTGTAAGTAGATTTGCTTTCATTGTTTTTTTTTTCTTTTGTTTTAACTCTTTGACAAAGAATGTGTGTGTATCTATTTTCAGCTCTCCAGACATACAAATTAGGCTGGATCCTCAGCTGCTGTAAATCAATATACATCATGGAATCATAGGGTTGGAAGAGAACTCAGGAGTCATCAAGTCCAGTCCCCTGCCCAAAGCAGGACCAACCCCAACTCAATCATCCCAGCCAGGGCTCTGTCAGGTCGGGATTTAAAAACCTCTAGGGATGGAGATTCCACCCCCTCCCTAGGGAACCCATCCCAGTGCTTCACCACCTTCCTAGAGAAATATTTTTTCCTAATATCCAACCTGGACCTCTCCCACTGAAACTTGAGACTGTTGCTCCTTGTTCTGTCATCTCGCACCACTCAGAACAGCCTCTCTCCATCTTCTTTGGAACCCCCCTTCAGGAAGTTGAAGGCTGCTATCAAATCCCCCCTCACTCTTCTATTCAGCAGACTAAATAAGTTCAAATCCCTCAGCCTCTCCTCATAAGTCACGTTCTCCAGCTCCCTAAGCATTTTGTTGCCCTCTGCTGGACCCTTTCCAATGCATTCACATCCTTTCTGTAACGAGGGCCCCAGAATTGGACGCACTACTTCAGGTGTGGCCACAACAGTGCTGAACAAAGGGGAATAATCACTTCTCTTGATCTGCTGGCAATGCTCCTCCTAATGCACCCCAATATGCCATTAGCTTGCTTGGCTAAAAGGGCACCCTGTTGGCTCATAGTTCACTGACTTCTTTGGATGTTCCTAAAGTGTTGCCAGCGATTTTGCCTGAAAATGCTGCCTCACAGAGACAGTTCCCATGGAGAAAAAATCGAGATTGACTCGCAGGCAATTTCATTCAACAATCAGGTTGTTTTCAAAATGAAACATGGGGATACTCCTATAAAACAAGAGTAGTTGTAAGCTTGTATTGCCCAGAGGTGTGGTTCTGTAATATGCTGAATATTTATGCCATACCAAGGCAGAGATATGGTCCCTGCACCAAAGATCTTACAGACCAAGATTTAAATATAGGCCTTGACAAGTCATTTCCCTTCCTTTGACACTCCGGTCACTTCTTATCTATCCAACTGGAAGCTCATCCCCCATAAGAACATAAGAACGGCCGTACTGGGTCAGACCAAAGGTCTTTCTAGCCCAGTATCCTGTCTACCGACAGTGGCCAGCACCAGGTGCCCCAGAGAGGGTGGACCGAAGACAATGATCAAGTGATTTGTCTCCTGCCATCCCTCTCCAGCCTCTGACAAACAGAGGCCAAGGACACCATTTTATCCCCTGGCTAATAGCCTTTTATGGACCTAACCTCCATGAAATTATCTAGCTTCTCTTTAAACTCTATTATAGTCCTAGCCTTCACAGCCTCCTCTGGCAAGGAGTTCCACAGGTTGACTACACGCTGTGTGAAGAAGAACTTTCTTTTATTAGTTTTAAACCTGCTACCCATTAATTTCATTTGGTGTCCTCTAGTTCTTCTATTTAGGGAACTAATAAATAACTTTTCTTTATCGGCCCTCTCCACACCACTCATGATTTTATAGACCTCTATCATATCCCCCCTCAGTCTCCTCTTTTCTAAACTGAAAAGTCCCAGTCGCTTTAACCTCTCCTCATATGGGACCCGCTCCAAACCCCTAATCATTTTAGTTGCCCTTTTCTGAACCCTTTCCAAGGCCAAAATACTTATCCCACAATCGACCCTGCAGAGATCAGTCTCCCTGGGTTTGATTTAGTGGGTCTTGTAAGGACTCGATAAAACGACCGCTGATGGCACCCTCGTCGATTCTAGTACTCCTTGGTCACTAGGAATAAGAGACGTTGACAGGAGAGTTTCCTCCCATCGACCTCTCACAGTGGAAATGCCTCAAATATTCAACCTAAGGTACATCAACTCCAGCTACACTATTCACATTGCTAGAGTTGTATATCATAGATTGACTTTCTCCCCTAGTATAGACCTGGTCTAAGTCAGATCACTGGCCACTAAGAACATTCTTCCACCCAGTCATTCAGTAGTCTGCTTTTACGTTGCCTTCCCCTTCAAACAGCTTTCTCCAGGAACATTAAATTCTGCACATCACAGCCCAGTGGTAGTAGCAAAATGAGTCACACAAAAGGCAGAATTGGTACTGTGCAAGCTGACGCTGCCTTTCCTATGCACAGTGAAGGTTCTGTTTGCTTTCCACTGGAATCCGCTATCACCTGTCAAAACTAAAAGGCTCTGGGCTTGTTTTAAGTAGAGCTGGAAGGAAAATTTTCTTCCTGTCCTGGGAAAATGTCCAAGATTTAGACATTTCTTTCATACCTCACATCAGTTGAAATCTGAAAAATGGTCATGAACAGATGATCCAAACATTTCCAGGTTGGGTCAAATGAAACTTGGTTTCAATGTTGATTTTATGTCGACGATGAATTTCTAACCCAAGTCATTTCAAAGCGAGAAGCAGAACTGTTTGTTTGAAAAATGGCGGGGGTTGGCAGACATATGTGAAACTGACCCATTCCAGTGAAAAGCTTCTGTTTCAGCATTTTTGACAGGAAAATAGTTGGGTGAAAAGTTTCTAGCCAGCCCTAATCTTAAGAGGAAAGAGGCAGTGTCCTAAAACCACACGTGTAACATTTCCCAAAGCATCAGCATTCCATTCTCAAGAGCGAGTTAGGCACACAGAGCCTACGATCCATTGACTTTAAGTTAGAATGAAACTTCTGAAAATGCAACGTAGGTGCTTCTGAAAGCTTTACCCATCTTCTTTCTGCACACTGTGTCATTGGCATATTTAACCAGTGATTTGCTTATTTATTGCTGCTCATCGTGGCGTACAAAAAGGTACCCACCAGCTACCTCGTGGGCTTTTAACACTATTTAATATTACAACAGCAAAACCTTCAGCCACTGACATAGCAAAATAAGCCAGGCTTTCTCTATCAGTTCCCATCCCCAACAAGCTCTAACTTGACAGTGACGTGGGCAAAAAAAACACGGGCTTGAAAGCCGCTGTCCCTGACTGTTTGGGGCTAAGGGTGAACCCTTATTTCACAGCTGAGGGTTCAATTTCCTGAAGCTTTTGGGAAGAGTTGCCTATATATCCCCGGCTCATTTCATTTAAAGAAGGGTATTGAATAATCGTAGAATCCTAGAACACTAGAACTAGAAGGGACCTCGAGAGGTCATCGAGTCCAGTCCCCTGCCCTCATGGCAGGACCAAGCACCTTATAGATCATCCCTGACAGATTCCTATCTAACCTGTTCTTAAATATCTCCAGTGTTGCAGATTCTATAACCTTCTTAGGCCGTAGAGTTGAATATTACGTAGATATTAGGCCACAAAAATCCGACTTTGGCACTGATGAATTGCTTTGGTTCTTGTTTAGGTCTTTGGATTCTTGAACTTTATCCTGTGGGCAGGAAATATTTGGTTTGTTTTTAAGGAGACGGGGTGGCATTCCTCAGGACAGAGACACCCGCCAGACACCATGGAGAAACAATCCAGCAGCTACAACCAAGGTGGTTATAATCAAGACAACTATGGCCCATCTGGAGGATATAACCAACCTGCAGGCTTTGGCCAACCAGCTAACTATAGCCAGGTGGGTGAATATGGCCAGCAACAAAGCTATAGTCAGAGTGGGCCCACTTCATTTGCCAATCAAATTTAGCAGTCACCAAGTTTTCATTCTTACCCCCATTCATGTAGACAGTGTAACAACTCAAGGTTGCTGTGGCACCAGATTTGTAAAGAGTTTAAATAAATAAAACTCCAGCAGAGTATTTAATGTAAATGAAAGATCTACCAGTACCTACTGAGGCAGGCAGATGGTGGCTAGATTGTTATTTTTGTGATTAGACAACTGATGATGATGTATTCATCGCTGGTGGTGAACTGGAGTAAGTATTGTTGTATGTATTGTATAGATAACTTTATGGTAGTTTGTACGTGTACTAAAATGGTAGAAGCACTTTGTAGCCTCAAGTCTCTAGTACGTAATAGGCATAACATAATGAAGTGGAATGGAATTTTTCTTCTGCATTTTGGTGAGAAACAAAAGTGTTTTCCTCTGATTTCTAAAGATTATTCAGTATATCGCAATGCATGTAACATTGTTCCTAAATTCTCAAGACTGCCTGTTTGTGACGTTTTGGAGCATTTGTTCTTAGTCTACTTTTTCAGAGGATTTTTTTTTATTATGATTTTGATTAACCAATTCACATGTGACTTAGTGCATGGATAAGCAGTTCCACACCAACAGAATGTTTTGGACCATGAATATGGAATTTTTCAATTTCTGTCACGACTTTTTGGGTTAAATGTATGTTTAAGAAAATGTGTGTATATTTTATATATTTTGCAGAGTTGGATATATGGCTTACCCAAGTTCTGAAAGCTTTGTAACTAAAATGTTTTTCCTTGAAAAAGCATTCACTAGCATCAACGGTACCTGACCAATGTTTATTCCAATTAACTAAGCTAAGTATTCATTCTATAAATCACTATTTCTATGGATGTTTTGTGAACCTTTTAATGTGAGCTGTGAAAACTTAAGGACCAAGTAACTGTGTTATATGTTTACAAAGGTATTTATTTAATTAGGATAAGAGAGGTGCAGATATCAGAAACCAAAACCATGTGAAAAGACACCACATTGTGTCATAGATCTAATATAACAAAACATGGCATAGCATCACAAGGCTTAATTATCCCTTTAGACTAGATGGAAATATTTCTGGCTATGCTATTTGGAAATCATTAAATCACAGCTTTGATCCATCATTCTGCTGAATACTGGTTTTGGTGCTATCAGTAAATGCGAGAAAGCTGTCAAAAAGCAACATCTAAAAAAACTCATCTTAAAATATATAAAGGCCAGATTCTTAGCAGATGTAAATTGGCATCATGTCACTGAGAATTTGGACTTTACTTCCTACAGTGCATGGGATTTTGTGTAGCCGAAAAGGTCACCTTAAATACTCTTTGCTTCACTCAGTTTGAAGCTAGAAACACAGCATCATAATCAAAACTGATCATCTGCATTTCTAAATAAAATGTATCCGTATATAATATTGTACAAGCTGTAATGTTAAAAGCATCTTAGCATAAAACAGCATAGTCTTATATGATTGTTGTAACCAATTTATGGCTACTCAGTGGATGGATCTATATTGTGATATCTATTTGACCCTAATAAAGTTTATTGCATACAATGTACGTTTGAAGAGTATGGTGATATTAGAATGGTATAAAATAAGCCTGCACTAAACCAGAAGTCGATACTATTTTATTAACTGTGTTTTGAACTTATTGGTCTCGTTTTGAGTATTTTACAAGACTTTTACAAGGATTTTACAGACATACAACTGGGGACGTTATGTATTTCTGGTAAGTCAAAGTCACAACATGAGTATAACCAATTTTAATGGACGCAGTACAGCTGCTATGTGTTCTTCTCTCTCCAAATATCAATACATTGATACTCTCTTGTTCAATTGTGAGGAACAAAACAGAAAACTGGAGAGGGGAGGTGATCTTTGCCTTCCAGCCTTGTTCTTGAGTTTGGTGCCTCCCAGTTTCTTGAACCAGGAGACAGACAGTCTCTTGGCACTTAGGATTTTCCGTCCTGCCTGCCTTAAATTTAGAACATTCTGGCTACGTCTACACTGGCAGCTTCTTGCGCAAGAACAGACGTTCTTCCGCAAAAACTTGCCAGCTGTCTACACTGCACGAGCGTTCTTCCAGAAGTAAATTTACAGTACAGCGTTGTAAAGGGCTTCTTCCGGAAGAGTTATTCCTCTCCCCATGAGGAATAAACCCTCTTGTGCAAGAGCTCTTCCACAAGAGGCCAGTGTAGACAGGCAACATGAATTTCTTGCACAAGAAATCCCTATGGTTAAAATGGCCATCAGAGCTTTCTTGCGCAAGAGAGCGTCTTCACTGGCATGGATGCTCTTGCGCAAAAGCTCATGCCAGTGTAGACGCACCCTTGTGGAAGACTTTTTGCACAAGAACTCTTCGGCAAAAGAGTTCTTGCGCAAGAAGTTGCCAGTGTTGATGTAGCCTCTTTCTTTATATGCCCATTTTTTTCTCTGCAGTACAGATCCCAGTCCAGCACCCCTGCAGCCTATGACTCACAATGGAATGTCACTGGGACGTCGGCTCCAAATATTCAAAAATCCCAGAATCATGAGAGAGAGAGAGAGTGGGGGGGAGAGTTATTTCTTTCTATTTGCCTTCTCTTTTCTGATTTTCTGATTCTGGGACTCAGCTCATGTTTTCAAGCTTTCCCTCACAACCATGAGGGTTAGAAACTTACTTTTTAAAATATTAGCTGAGTGTCTCGCATAAGCGCAAGACATCAGAAGCTGCGGTTTTCATGGCCCATGAGAAAATCACAAGTTGGCATCACTGTCAGGATCTGCATTTGAAAATCTCAGCATAGATTTTGGATCTGAGGCAGGCCTGGGCAAAATACAGCCCAGGAGCCAGATCCGGCCCACAGGGCACACTGCCAGGACTCTCAGGCACACAGCTGCCACGTTTAAAGTACAGTCTGTGGGCTCTCTGCTCTGCAGGGAGGGGGAGGTTTCATGTGATCGCCCCACCCGCAGTCCAATCCTCAGCTCCAATTGGCTGGAAACAGTCAGCCAATAGGAGCTGAGAGATTGGCCTGGGGGATGGGGGCGGTGGAAGCCGCTTCCCCCTCCTGGAGCTGAGAGCCACATGCAGGGAGCAGCCTGCAGTTTAGAGTGATCTGGGGTGCTGCAGGGCTGCTGGCCAGGGCTGCTGGCTTAGGTAAGTGCCTCCCAGCCAGAACCTGCCACTGGCACCCCTGCCCTTCCTACACCCCAAGTCCCTCCCCCAGGTCACCATCCAAACCCTCTGCACCCCCCTGGCCCTGGTCACAACTCCCTCCCAGCCCCTGTAGCCCCTCCTTTGCCCCTCCCCCAGGCCAGAATCCTCTCGTGCACCCAAACACCCTCCCAGGCCCTGCACCCCATTCCCCTGGCTAAGGTCACCACCCGAGCCCTCTGGAGTCTGCACCCCCTTTTCCCCTTCTCCCAGGTCACTGCTCCCTCGCAGACTTTGTATGTCCTCCTAGAGCCCCTCCCCCACGCCAGAATCCTCTCCTGCACACACACTCCCTCCCTGATCCTACACCCCAATCCCCTGAGCCAGGTCACAACCCCCTCCTTCACCCAACCTCCCCCTCAGGCCTCACACCATCTCCTGCACCCCAGTCCCTTACCCCGTGCGCTCTTCTGCACCCAACCTTGACCCTGCATCTCCTCCACAGCAGAGTGCGGCCCTTAGCCACTTTCCAAAATGTTGGAGTGGCCCCCCCCACCAAAAATTATTGCCGATCCCTGGTGTAAGGGCTTGGCTACCCTACAGCGAAGATCAAAGCTGCCGCAGTCAATCTTCCAGGGTACGAATTAGCGGGTCTAGTGAAGACACAAATTTGAACTGAGGGTGCGGGTAGTCCTGCTCCTCCCCAGGAGTATGGGAAGTCGACAGGAGCATGCGCGCCCATTGACTTCCCACTGTGTGGATGGTGCCAAAACACAACTTAAGGCTCTTCCACCCCATCTACGTAATTAGTGGAGTTGCATAACTGAAGTAGACTTCCCTCTTTAGTGTAGACAACGTAATCAATTGTGTTTTGGACTAGCTGTATTTGTCTGCCCAAATGGGAGTATTCCCTAGTGGCCAGAGCACTGGCCTGGGACTCAAGAATTCTGCCCTTAGTCTGAGAGGTGGTCTTGAGAGAGGCACTTTCTCCTTTAGGTGCCTCAGTTTCCCAATCTGTAAAATAGGGATAAAACCTGTCCCTGTGACATGGCCTGTGGATGATAGAGTGTTAAGTAAGAGCTACGCATAATTCTCAAGTGTAAGCAATCATTGTCCTCTGGAAACCAGAACTGAGGGAATGACGTACAGAGGTGGTAACAGAACCAAACAACATGCCCGTGCTCAGAAAAGAACGTACACTGGAATGTACTCAAGGAGGGAATATGACATACACATTCTCCACAGGGGAGCACCAGGGGTGTGTGTAGACGACATGGCTCCGTCGACGGAGCCATGTAGATGAGTTTACTAGACATAGCAAAATGAAGCATCCATTTAAATAATCGCTGCTTCATTTATGTCAAAATGGCCGCCGCGCTGTGCCGATCAGCTGTTCGGCGGCACAGCACGGTAGTCTGGATGCTCTGCGGCCGACAACGGAGTGTTGTGTGCCATCAGCATGCACCTCACTTCATGTGGCCTTGATTTACAGGTATGTCTAGACTACATGGCTCCGTCGACGGAGCCATGTAGATGAGTTTACTAGACATAAGAAAATGAAATGTCAATTTAAATAATCGCCGCTTCATTTACCTCCGGTAAACCTCATTCCACGAGGCATAATGAAGCGGTCGACAAAGGCTTCCGTTGTTGACTGCGGAGCATCCAGACTACCGCGCTGTGCTGCCCAACAGCTGATCGGCACAGCGCGGCGGCCATTTTGATGTAAATGAAGCAGTGATTATTTAAATCGCCGCTTCATTTTGCTATATCTAGTAAACTCATCTACATGACTCTGTTGACGGAGCCGTGTCGTCTAGACACACCCCAGGAGACAAACAATCCGGAATTCGGTGCTTCCTGATGGAAGGCGAGCAGACGACTCTGTAAGCTCCGGCGTCCTGTTGGAGGCCCGTGTGCTTGCTGCTGGATTTCTTTCCCCCTCCGTTATTAGCATGTGTGCTCGTTAGTTAAATAACTAAGTCCGCCTCCATACCTCTTTGTCCCTTGATATTCAGGACAGACCTTCCTGCTCATTCATAGCCCTTCCCGGGAGTTTCTCTTTGCAGCCCACTTCTCCTTCCCCAGTTGGTATTGGTAGGTCTGCATGGGCAGCGGGTATCCGAGGCAAGGCACGGCCTTCCCAAACTGCCTCACCTGGCCCCGCCCATGCTCCACCGGAGGCTGTGGCCATGCCGCCCGCTGGCTCTCCGGGGCCGGGGAGGTGCTACCCTGGGGCAGGGGGGGAGCAAGGGCCAGCAGACACATTGCAGGGGTGGCGGCTGGGGAGGAGGAGGCTAGACAGGGGCCAACAGGCCACAATGAGGGGGAGCTCTTGTGGGCAGGACTGGGGGGCAGGGCCTGCCTCCCCAAGCCATGGAGACCCCCCCACCCATGTAGGCTTGCAGTCTGTGGAGAGAGGCTTTTACACACACTCTCTCATTCTCTCCT